AACTTGAAGTTCAGCTTTGGCAGAACATTCACTCCTCTTGCTTTTTTTTTAATGCTGAAACTGTAATTCAGAAGAAGAATCAAGTAAGCATTTTTTCCTGAAGTTATCTTTCTTGTGACTTGGATTCTATGCAGCAGCAGAAGCAGACTACTGAAGTATAATTATTTTAAATAATGCCTCTAACATTTAACATTGTGTCTATAAAATATTTCAGAGTTCCATGATTAAAATGTCATTTTAGGTCCTTTTGGGCATTCCCAAACCAATCTTGCGCTTACGCACAAAAGTGGTGCAAAATGTGAAACCTTACTTTTCATCTACATTGCATTAAAAAAAATCCAGAGGAAATGATTTATGCATATAACATATCATCAGTTCAGAGCGTATCATCAGAAAGAAAATGGCTCAGCTTGAAAATGTAGATGTGCATTCTCTACTCAAACTATTAAGACAGACATAATGATTCTCTGAAAGGTAGCAGCTGCTCTGTAACAGCAATCATTCAGAGAGTTTGTACTTCTACAGTTTCAAACAAATTCAATTAGCCCTTGTGCTTCAAAGCCCTTAAGGCATGAACAAGATGATGCCTGGTTGCTTTAATCTAACAGCACTGCTAAACTTGTCAAGACAGTTTTTGGATATAAAGGGTGAAGAAAAAAACCCATACCATTCGCTCTAACTTTTAATCAAACAGTGCTATTCAAAACTACCTATGGAACTTAAAGGATTCTTAGCCAAGGTAGTTAAATCATAAAACTCCACTGTTCCAAAAGGCACACTTAAAATTAATATACTGGGGAGGCAATCTGCTGGGAACAGTCTTTTTCTCTCAAATGGTTGTGACAAAACAGAAAACTATGACCCAGTCATGTTAAGGTTGTTTAAGTATTTTTTAAAAGAGAAAAAATGTATAAAATAAAGCTTGAATAGATAAATATGACAGGCTAAAATATTAAGGGTTTGATCCAGAATTTAGCAGAGCATGAGCTTACAGGCAAAAAGCAGAGGCGATTTTCAACATTTTCATTTCCACCTATGTTCTCAAAAATCTGTTCCAGAGAGTTGGAGAACCCTGCAGAATAGTATGTGAAGTGACACTGAGTCTCCAGAAGAAGAAACAGCAAAAATCAAATCAAGTCTCCAGCAGGGATCCTTCCACTTAGTCCATTCCATGAGTGGGAAAAAAAACACCTTTCCATTTGCAAAGGAACAATTTGGTAAAGCATGCTGCTTATATACTGCCCCATAGCGCTTAAAGCACTCTCTGGGCAGTTTAAAAGTTAATTATGCAGGCTACACACTGCCCCGCCACCAGCAAACTGGATGCTCATTTTACCGATCTCGGAATAAGAGAATGCGGAGTCAATCCGAGCACAGATTTGGCTGTAGTACAGCAGTTTAACCACTGTGCCACGGGGCTCAGTGGTATTTATTCTTATTCTTATTCATTGTTCTTACTGATATTTATTCTTAGTTGGTATTTATTCTTATTGTCGTTGTTTTGACTTATGTACTGTCCCATAGTGCTAAAGCACTCTCTGGGTAGTTTACAATGTAATTACGTAAGGAATACTTTGCCCTCCAGCAAGCTGGGTGCTCATTTTACAAACCTTGGAAGGACAGAAGGTGGAGTCAACCTTTAGCCAGCTACTTGAAGCCCTTAAATCAAACTCAGGATGTGAAATGAGGCTTGGGGCTGTGTAGGCATCTTTCAGTCTTGAGAGACTATGGTAACATGCTCTGTATGGAGGACTTGGAACAGCATCTGGTGTAGCTGAGAAGGCCAATACGAGAGTGACAATCCCTTCCACACTGAAGACAAATACAGTTTGTCTCCTGTACAGCTCCCTGATTTTGCTGCTTTCATGACTGCCTCTTGGGGCTGTACTAATGGTACATATGACAACCATTTAATTTTTTTTAAAAAAACTGGCTGTAATTCCATTCATGCAAGTTCTGCAATGAAAGGCTGATGACATCATCTACAGGCACAGGTTTTCAGAAATTAAATTTGCTCCTCCCATTTTAACATCCCCCCCCCAAGTCCTGTATAATCCGTTTCATCATTGGGAGCTGTGGAATGAAATGAAATCATACAGTGGTGCCTCAACTTATGGTCATCCCTACTTATGACCAATTCGACTTACGAACAGCTCCGGTCGCAAAATTTTACTTCTACTTGTGACCGCAGCTTCCACTTACGAACAGAAAAAAGCAGGGGGGAAATGTGGGAAATTCAAATTGCTAACTGTAGGTGGCGAAAGAGGCTTTTTCTTTGTAGCTCTCTCGCCCCAGCAGTTAGAGAGTGTGTCATCTGAGAAGGCTGCCTGCTAAGGTATTGGGCTGCTTTATGCTTTTTAAAAACTGTTCTTGGTATTTTTGCAGCGTGGTTTTCGGCTGGGGGGGTTATGTTTCTGTGCTGTGATGGGTCTTGGGGGGCTGTTTGTTTTTTTGGGGGGGTTACCCCCCATTTCCAAAGGGGGGTGGTTACTTCTTGGAGTGTTTTTTCCCCATTTCAGATGGGTCTTGAAGGGTTTGTTTATTTTTTGGTCCCCCCCATTTCCGATGGGTCTTGGGGGGGTTGGTTGTTTTTGGGTTTTTTCCCATTTTCAATGGGTCTTGCATGCTTCCTTTGCTTTTTGCTTTGTTCTCTTTGCATTTCTGATCTGCTCCCTTTGATTTCTGTGCATTTCCGACTTGGTCCCTTTGTTCTCTCTGCATTTCCGTTTATTTTCTGTGCTTTTGCAATGGGTCCTGCATGCTTCCCTTGCTTTTTCCTTTGCTTTCTGTGCATTTCTAACCTTGTCTCTTCATTCTCTGTGCATTTCCAATCTGCTCCATTTGTTTTCTGTGCTTTTGCAATGGGTCCTGCATGCTTACCTTGCTTTTTTCTATTCATTTCCGACTTTGTCCCTTTGTTCTCTGTGCATTTCCAATCTGTTCCATTTGTTTTCTGTGCTTTTGCAATGGGTCCTGCATGCTTCCCTTGCTTTTCTTTCCCCCCACCCCTTCAGCCGAAAGGGATTAATCGTGTTTCCAATGAGTCTTGCAGTGACTTTTTTGGAATTTTTTTCTTTGGCCAAAATGGTTTAATTGCATTTCAATGCATTCCTATGGCAATGGTGCTTCGACTTACAACCATTTCAAGTTATGACCATCATTCCGAAATGGATTATGGTCATAAAATAAATAAATAAAATAAATCATTTCCACTGGTAAAATTACCCCAGGAGCAGCAGTGTCTGCATTAAAGATTTCCTCTTCCCATCCCATGGCCCCCACAGGTTTCCAATGATGAAGGGGATTACTTGGGACCCTTCAGGGCATGCAGAAAGGAGAAGGAAATGTTTAATTTACAAAAAATTGCCCTAGCTGATGGAATCATCAGCCTTATGCCATAGAATTTATATGACAGGATTTCAGCCACTATATATTGGCGAGTGGAATAATTATTAAATCTCTGATTTAATTACCCAGCACAAAAAAAATAATTTATCTTGGGAAATGTGATTATACTGTGAAATAATACTTGTGGAATCATAGTATTTTGCAGCTGCCATGTATATAGAGTCTCACTTTAATCTCTAACTTCATTTTGTTTCTGTAATTATGGAACAGTCCTTAATGTGACTGGATCATATTGTTCCATATTTTAACAGCTTTTTTTAAAAAAAAAGTCTTGCAAACATATTACTTCCTAATCTGCTGCTGAATTTATTTTAAGAAGGAAGTCAAGAACTTGTGGGGTTAAATAGACCTATAGTGAAATTAAACTGCAGTACTTCAGGCAAGCCCAACTTCTCTGTAAATTCCATTGATACAAATGTGCCTACTATAACTTTAACTTAACTTACAGTTAGAGTAGACCTCTTTGAATCAATAGATTTGACTCATCAAATCCCCACTGATCCAGAGTGCCTACTCTAGTACAATTTATTACACTAACAAAGATTATGGCAATTGGATAAGTTTATTAAGAAAGAGACTCAGAAATAATTCTTGTCTATGATGTGTTTGGCAAAAATATGTTGAGTCCCAGTCAACCTATCTCCTCACCCCTTCTCCCAAAAGAGATCATCATAGAGGTGGAAAGATATGAGAAAAGGCAATCAAAATAGTTGAGCATCTTCCATTCAGATTTGGAATTTGTATCTTCTATACCATAATGACAATGTAGTGTTGGCTGCTGACAAGTTTTAAAGGCCTGTTAAGCAAACTGAGGTATTCCCGTTACAATTAGCCATGGGAGGTATTTCAGAGGAGCTATGCTGGTGATTGCAGTTGCTAAGGGGCAACAGGGAGACGTAGCGTTTTTTTCCCCCTCACTTCCAGCAAGCGCATATCTCACAGTCCATAGTGTGAAACAAGACTTTGGACCACAGTAGAATTGAGGAAGCTCCAGATGTTGTTGGATGGCATTTCCCATAATACCTCACCACAGTCTGTTCTGACAAAGGTTGATGAGACATGGAGTCCAATAATATCTAGGGAGACCAGAATAATCTTTGATCCAGTCAGTCAAGATTCCTCTTCTTATATTTAAATAATAAAATTATTTGAAATAATAACATTAAGTCTTAGGACACCCACCCCTCACGTTGAAGAAGCCAATCCAAACAGGCCTAAATGTGATCCGTTAAAGCAATTTGTGGCACCCTTGGCTTATAATGATTAATTTGTCTGTAGTCAGATAAACAAATAGCATGCACCTGTAAAGCCTATTTCATCAAGGTAACAACAACTGCTTGGGAATGATCATGCTGGCAAAACAGCTGCTTGCATTCTGGAGAGCAAACAAGGTAGCATCTTCAACAACTGCCAATTCTGGTGTTTTATCAGTGCTATCTCATTAGCTGGAAACAAGGCTTAACTGCTTTGTTTATAAATTATGATTATTTCTGATTGCGGCAGTTACTGATAGTGCCACTCATTTGCAACACAACTCTTTGAATTTGTTTAATTACAATTCGAAACAAGGCAGAGAAGATTAATTAACCCACCTGGCTGGCTGGCACATACTCCTGGTTCGGCTCTGTCATACTCATATACATGTTTTCTCCGTCAAACTGCAAATAATCATAATAAAAAGAAATCCAATTATTTTTTTAAAAAAGAGCAACATTCAATGCTTCTAATATCAAGTGACAAACACTACCCATATATATTGATAGTGTTTGCTGTATATATACATGTTTGTCATGTGTGTGTGTGTGTGTTTATGTGTGTATACTTATATATACTTGTCATATACATACATAAAATTTCAGTTTGAAAGACATATAATTGCATACAAGCAGCTTCTTTCCTGATATTCCTGTTGTCATCCATATTGACCCTGGATGTCAATGATTAAGAGTAATTAGTATTTTAGTAACTGCAGTAAGACATGGTTTCTTTTCATCTGCAATCTGTTTTAAAACAAAATGCTTCAATTTGTGCACCATGTCTACATACTGCTATTGCTGTAATGAAGTAATAAATGAACTGAACTTTTGTCTTCTTTCACAAAAAATGAGAAAATAATGAAAAAGTATGAATATACCACTTTACAGAGTCTAAGATTCAGTCCTGACAAAGAATGGTTTAAAAATAAAGTCTCATCATTATTTAAAAATAAAAATCTCAATGTCCATTTAGAAAATAAGGAAGGGGATCTGATGTTTCAGAAAGAAAAATATTAGCTGTATTAGTGAAACAAGGATAGACAAAACAACAGTTTGTGTGACAGATAGTAGAGAAGAATGATTCTATCAGAGATCTATATCTAGAAAACCTCCAAAAGGCTCACTGTAACCCATAATCAATTTGATGGCCCATTCTAACCATTTGGGGGCGCTGCTGTATGGTACCACTAGCCTTACAGTACTTACTTACTTACTTACTTACTTACTTACTTACTTACATTTCACCTTTCTCCTAAGGACCCAAGGCAGCTTACATCAAAGCTAAAACAGTGAATTATTCAAATATTAAATGAATTAGTAACATTATATTAAATATCTTAGGTAAAGCACTACTAAAAATATTTTAAAGCAGCAAGATGCAAACCATCTGATTTTAAAACCTCTCTTAAATAATCTGCTGCTAAGGAAAAGCTTGCCTGAAGAGAAAGGTCTTTGCCCGCTTACAGAAGGAGAGCAACAATGAGGCCAGCCTGGGTTCCTGTGAGAGGGAGTCTGGGAGTGAAGGCCCTCTTCTATGTTGCCAACAAGTGCACCTGTGAGGATAAATGCTCTCAGATGTTTGTGCTGTGGGGACTGCTGTTCTCCTTCCTCACTGTTAGCTTTCAGCACAATAAAGTACTCAGTATTTTAACATTTACTTGAAGCCACTGAGTGTTGTTGTTGGTGGTGGTGATGATGCTCTCTCTGTGTCTCTTTTTCTACTGATGCCAAAGAGGTGTGGAAGTCCTAAATCAGCGTCTGGGTACAGTGGGGGGATAGGATGTGTATGATGAAGCAGAAATTTGTTGATCAATATGAAGAGACCAATCTGGGATTTGGATTACAGCTCATTCTTGATGGGATTGTACTCCCTCCAGAGGATCAGGTTCACTGCATGGTGATATTCATATTCAGCCAGAATCTTGACTGGATCATGTCAGAAAAGTTACTAAAATGTTACCAGTTGTAGATAGCCTGTGAAATTCTCTTGCTATTATCTAATAACATACATACTTAATGTAAAATAGCATAACCTAAGCAATTCTAAAGTCACAAATGGAGTCCATCATAAACATGGGCTTGTAAATTTTCCACAACCAGAACACAAGAGACTTCTGCTATTTCTCTCCCAGTCAGTGATCAGAGATAAAATGGTAGTTAAAGCATTAAACTGTGCTTTGCAAGCCAGGAAGCTGTTGCATAGAACTGAGCTGGATTTTGAAGAGCTAATAAAACTTGGGCGTGGAATCATTTTGTGCTTTATAAGAATAGGAAGCTAGACTTTATTTTGGAGCACACATGCACAGAATCATGCTGTGCTTTGTATGGTTGGTGACAATATGTCTATATTTGTAGTAACTTATATCTGCCCCCAGTCTCTTTGACTGCACCTGCTTATGAGCCCCATACCCTTAGACTTATCCACTGAAGATAGTGCAAGATCCTTCTCAAACTGGAACATTGCTAATAGGCCCAAAACACCCCACACTCATTCCTTGTTGTGTATAGAAATGCAATCAAAAGCTGATCCATTCCTGCTTTATGCCACCATAAATTTATGCAATAGATGTTATTACCGTATTTTTCGCTCCATAAGACGCACCTTTCCATAAGACGCACCAATTTTTTAGGAGAAGAAAACAGGAAAATATAATCTGTTTTCTTCGCTCCATAAGACGCACAGACTTTCCACCCCCCTGTTTTGTGGGAAAAAAGTGTGTCTTATGGTCAACAGATGTTATTACTTTAAAACAAAATAAAACAAAGGATTGGCATAGTGAGAATTAAGTTAGACTAAAACACTCTTTAACATGTTGATAAGACAAATTGGTCAATCACAGCATTATTATTATCCAGAAAACAAAACATAGTGTACTAAAATGCTACACCACCATTGTACAAAACAATGTGATATATTTTCTAATTTTATGGCTATGGCACAGCCTCTGGATGCACAACTCCCACATACACACACTATCCATATCACGCAATTGGTTACACAACAGAGATGGACAACAGGATTACAGTTTGTTAATACAGGCCACCTGGGGTGAAAGGTTTAAGGAATATAACAAATATAACATCTCCCCTCATCTCTTTTTGATTTTAAAAGTTAGATTTCCCTTCTTTTTCGGTCTGAAATGAGAGATACCAGACCAGCAAACCTGGTTGCCCTGTCCCATCCAGTTCACCTGGATTCGTTTGGAACAAGATGGTGTTAAGAAGAACGGGAGGGGGCTCCAGTCCTTTTAAGAGCTGGTGTAAAAGAGGAAATTTCAGCTGGTCAGATCTGTCATGTAAATGATTCCTACTAAAATTCCCTCTTCCACATAGCTACTTCAAGTATTGATGGTTTAAGATGAGATCTGAAATCTTTCACTTGTCAAAGCTGTCTTTACTATTTGTTTTCACAATATAATTGTTACACCAACCCTAATTTTCATTCTGTAATCATTCTTCCAGAAAGAAAGCAAAGTACACCAAGTGGAGGTACATGCAAGGGAAGAAAAAACTTGTCCAACATTCTGTTTGGATTTATTGTATGACCAGAGGATTGTAGTATATCGCACCCATCCCTCAGCTGCAGCACTTGCTAGCTAGCTCTATCTATGATATTTTGCAGTACTGTGTGAGAAAAGACAGGACTCAAATTTAAACAAACAGCTGTTTCAGATTTTTGTTTTTCTTTTTCTCTTTTATAATTGCCCTATTCAGTTGTTATCCATCCATGTGGCACTCACACAGAGTTAGAGTAGCATGTTAGCTTCACCTCTTCCACCTCTTTCAGCATGGGCAGTCTGAAGAGAAAGAGGCTGATGTATTTGAACAGGTTATATATAAACAATGACTTGTACTCGGCAAACTCTTCTGTTATTCTCAAGTGTTAAGTGTCAGTTGGCACATCATCTGGAAAAATTAAGGTCTTGAAATAGGCCAGAACGAATAATCTTTCTCAGCATGAAGATGTGGATATATCCATAAAAGTTCTCAGTGAAATATACCAGTAAGTCTTTAAAGGTGCCACAACATTTTTTGGTTTTATTTTTTGCTTCTGTTTTTGGCTGGATATTTTTGCACAAACTAATACAGCTACCCCTTTGAAAACTCCTGGTGTTCAGAGACACTTTCTAAGAATTATTACAAAGATGTAGGTAGTTTGAAATTTTCTGAGGCCATTCCAAACTCATGCTTGGCATCACCTATGTGCACATTGTACAGAAGACATTTTTATGTAGCTGTGCTTTCTTCTCAATTTGCTCTTTCGGAGAAAATTTCTATGACAACAATCTCAGCTAGAAAAATTAAACTTGGCATCTGCAGTGAATTGGAAAGACAGAAAAATGTGCCGAGTCACTTTTTTACATGGTAGATGTATACTGTGGTTGTATTTGAAGCATACAAGATGTCACTATTCGCAAGTATGAATCACATCTGAAAAAGTATTTTCATCAAGCCAGTTTGGTCCTCAATATTAAAAGCCATTTAGGAATTGAAAAATTCATACTCTGGCATTACATGGTCTGTTGCACCTAGTATTAAAAATTCAGAAGAGTGGACTGGAAGGAATACGTTGCTACCCATAGTTGCTTAATCCATACTCAACATGCCTTTCCAAATTTGTTTCTAAAATAACAAATATTTCAATACTAAAGATGATACTGAGTATAACTGTATTGTGTCTGGTATAAAATGGATTGTGTTTTGTAACAATACATATTTTTGCATAATAAATTTCTAATTTTTAAAAATTTCATTATTGTGTCACAGCACCATTAGGTCCAGGATGAGAATAACACACTGCGATTTACCCTATACTGAATAAATCATATTCCTCTGCGCTACTGTGTGTATTTGGTACTACTTGAATCATATGTGACCATAATGTAATGTTAGAATAATGACATTTTGAAATATTTAAATATGACTAGCCACCATTAAATTCCAAGACTCTTGGAGTCATAAAACCCATTTTCTTCGAAGTCTACTTCACTCTGTTTTGATTTACAATGAGCATAATTCTACATATATTTACCTTGATAGTGTTTGACTGAATAGACTCCAAGGTAGATGTGTATAGAACTGCAGACTCATTTATTTTTATTTATTTAAATCTTGACTTGACTCAGAGTGGTACCGACTTACCAGATGGGCGGGATACAAATCAAATAAATAAAAAAATAAATAAATAAATTTATTTATTTATTTATTTATTTATTCAAAAGCTCATCTAAGCTTTGCTGGCTTGTTGTATAAAACATATGCAAGGCTGGGCTTTCTGGTCTGCAATCCTACATCCAATTCTGTCTTGACATGCCTGGCATTTCACTGTTGGCTTCCTTAACCATAGTTAAAATTGCAAGAAAGCTAATGCAACTCTTTCTCTCTCTCCTTGGACATCATTC